TAGCTAGTTTATCCAAAAAAATTTTTTTTTTCCTAAAAAAAAAATTTAAACTTTTTCTGGTAGTTGCCGTTTTTCTGCATAATTTAACTATAATATTTGCTCTCCAATGTGGAGGAGACAGGATGATCAATGTGTTAATTAGAACCGAACTCGAAGTCGTAACTAAGCCTTTTCTCTTCAACTTATTTATACTAGTAGAGTTTCAACGTCTATTAGGATATGTATCTTCTAACTGTGTCAAGTAATTCAGTGACACGAGCTCTCTATTTCAAATAAAAAGATTACTTGACACAGTTAAAAGATACATATTCTAATAGAAGTTGAAACTCTACTAGTATAAATAAGTTGAAGAGAAAAGGTTTAGTTACGACTTCGAGTTACGACGACGAGATGCCCGAATGTTATTAGTAGAAGATTCTTTATTTTTATTTCGCTGGAGCTGCTACGACGGTAATGTTTACTGATCATTCACGATTACTATGTGAGCTAGTATTCTTGATAACATTACTATTAAGAATATTCGAGTCTATTTTATTACCGGATCCTCCCAATTAGAAGAGTTCTATGATAAGATCCTACAAAATTTCTATATGAGTAATTCTAGCAGATTCTGTAAGATTCTACCATTTATTAAAGGATTTCAAACGGATTTCGTCAACGCCTAATTTTTCTTTAGTAGAAAGATATCCGCCCACATAGATTAGCGTTCTTCTCTATCTAGGTCAACAAATCCTACTAAGAACGGATATGATCAGACGAAATCATATGAACTTTCGTACTCTCCGACTTTACGCCTGAATTCATACAAATCGTAGTAAGATCATAAATGATCATATATGATCCTATGAAACAGTACACTAAGACTATATACGACTCCAGAGAGTTCGATTGCCTATGGAATGAGACGCTTGATGAGAGAAAGTCGCACATAATCAAATTGTCTAATTCTCTGATTCGGGTGGACATATTTAGCTATTTAAAATCATGATCTCTATTTCTTTACCGTGTCCAGTTAGCTTCACCTTCTTCTCTTCACTTCAAGACTCTGAACACGAATTCGAAAGCGCTCAGTTTATGCTGTTAATTGACTTTTATTGGTAAAAAGCTCTTGTAAATTAAATATCGAAGGATAATTAACTTCAGTTTAACAGCAAATTAATTAAACTATAAATTTAGTGTTGTAAAGCAAGATCAGGATTTGTATCGTTCCAGTTTAAGACGTTACTATTTGGGCTTAATAGTAGCAGCGGAGTATGAACCTTTGATAGACCCTCGCCAAATGTGAAAATGTAATGTGATCCTCTGTGTAATAGAAACCATTTATCTCCTTGACCTATTAATGATTCTTTTTCTCGATTCGATTTTACACTGCAGAAAAAGGATGTTGCCAAAGAACGAAAAAAAATCAGTTTTTCAAAAAATGAAGAACAAATCTCAAACATCTTGAGAGCCGAAGAACAGAATTTGAGTTTTCTATATTTTAAAACGAAGAACAAAATTCCCATTGATTTACCAGTTCTTTGAAAAGCTGAAGAACACCTTTTTTTAGAGTGTATTGGAATCAGAGTATGAAAAGGCTTTGATACGAAAGCTGATAGAAACGGGTCGGATACATAGAAATAGAAGCTCTCAGAAGATATCAGTAAACTATTGGTAAGCCGAAAAATGCTGATACAAGAACATGATGCAGTTTTTGCGAGATATTCGCTAACACACTTAAAAAGTTAAAGTTAATTTTAACAAATTAAAAACAGTTGATTAAATCAAATTTTGGTAAAATTAGAAAACCGAGGTCGCGTGATGTACGAACGTCGACAAACCCCTACGTTTATTCAGATTTTAATTCTCTATCGAATGACGTCTTTAAAACGCTTATAGCTATTACCTATGCTGAGTTATTTAAATTTTAAAAAAAGTGAATTTTTTTAAAAAATTAAAATTTTAACTTTAATTCTTTTTTTGAAATACGAAAAAAAACACAAAAAACTTTTAAACCAACAGTATTTTCCTAGAAAAAAGTTTTTCTGTATCCAGATATGTCCCAAACCATGGTTTTCTAGAAACTCTACTTTCACGCTTGTTGAAAGCAACCTAAGTAAGCCAAATGAAAGAGCATAGTTCGAAACTCTTAAAGCCTAAGTTTTACCTCAGTAAGATGCCGTGTGTAGAAACTGGCCAAGGCCTACTTTCTGATGTAACACACCTATTAAAATAACAAGCAGAAGGAACCACAATAACTTACTAATATTGTATTTATCCACAATGTCAAGATAGTTTAATGAAAATCTTGCTAGGAGAAATGTGAAGGCTAAGTTTTATCTATTATTGATAATCTTCTAATTAACTAATTAATCGATTAGCATAATATTTGCTATACAGTTGTTCTCTTCCTCGTTAAATGTAGACAGAAGCATCACTTAAATCTTATCATTCGATAGCATTATTGTAATCATCACGAATATGGAAGTAGAATATTCAGCTGGTGTTCGATATTAGTCATGATGTTCAATGTATTAATTAGAAAGATTATATAACAACATCTTCTTAGATCAGATTCTGTCACCAGTGAGAGTAGTTAAGTAATATCATATATTAGGTAATATTATAAGGAAGAATGAGATGAAGGATAAAGACTATTTTTGAAAATTAATCCTCAATAAAAGTTTACTCATAGAAAGGAAGAAGCATGTGAACAATACACTATTATCCCAGTTATTACTAGGTATGATTTGTCCTGTACCAGCTCTGCTCTCTTCTAAAACGATTTGTGCCATTATGATCAGCGGCATGATTAGTTGTCTCAGGTACCATCATTCAGAATGGAATATGTTGATACATTATATTCAATCATTGCTGACTGTTCTTGAACTCTGTTCATATTTCACTACATACCATTGTAAAATTTCCGTTTTTGCTTTTATTTACAACTTCTATCCGGGATATTTTTATTACCTACTTTTACGCTACATGTTGATAATTGATAACCAGTATAATCAACAATGTTACCATGTAAGTAGGAAAAAGTATGAAAAGAGAGCGGAGTTTGTACTGAATAGAGAATGGGGTGCGAATTATTAAATTTCTACGCTGTTTAGAGGACGGGACAGAAAAGAGAACGGTTTTCAAATATTTTTGCAGAAGATTGAATAGAGAACGATTTATTTAGAATGCATGTAAACAGTAAAAGAACCAAATGCTGAACAAAATGATGCGGAGACAATGGCTACCATTGCGGATTTGCAGTGCGAAAGCTGAACTTGATAAATCAATAGCAGAAAATAAAGTATTTTTTTGTAATAGCATATATATGTTACAGTGGAAACTTCAGTGGAATTTAAAATTCCGTTAGTGGAAATCAAAATTTCAATCTCAACTAGTGCAGATTAAAATGTGATTTTCATGTGATCTCCAGTGGCCAATCTTAAAAAATTGATAACTTTTGAAAGAAGAGCTATACAACGAAATTCTTTAGATTTTAAGACTAGGACATCATATAGTATCTATTGGCAAAAGATCATCGAAATCGGAGGGTAACTTCTGCGACCATATGTTATCGACGGTATTATGGTTTTTATACAACAGACAAATTACTGTAGTCTAACTATTAATATTTCGTCATCATTGAGGTATGCGCTAGTCTTTTATTATTGTTCCTGCTCGTTATATGTTTTCTATGGAAGTTATGTAAAGATGAAAAAGCAATTGCAGTTTTGACGTTTTTTCTTTCTTTATTCAACAGTCATGGCTTTACCAAATATAGCATTGTTTTTTATTCGTGTTCTACTCCTTACTAGACTCAACCAGAAGGACATATATGACTTATTTCTTTCCTTCTCTACTACCAGAAAAAATGTACTCTAATATTATTTTTAACGAGGGCATACCCCGTTCAGCTCCGTCATGTGTGTTTTTTCTTTAGTGTATGGGATCATAGGCCTAGATTTTAACATCCATATTGTGTGTATTTGTGCAGCTGTATACATACGCTCGAAATTATTCGTACAGCATGTAGTTTCGGAATAAACGAATCATAACTTTTTAAGGAAGCAATATTTCGGCATGGGCCTTCCACTAAACGATTACTTGACGTGTCTAGTATGTATGTAAAACAGAAAATAGTTTGAAATTCTAAGTGGTTTTAGTTTTTTTTAGTAGGCTAAAATTACCCGTAGTGCAGAGAATATTTGCTTTTTCTAATCCAATAAAAATTTTGAAAGGATTGGACATAGCATTGGAAAGAGCGAAAAAAAGCTGAGTAGAATACATTCATTTTAGAAATAAACTAGCAACTTTTTGCATATTTTTCAGCATATTGTTTGAGTTCGTATATGCGCAAGGTTTTACTAATTGGCCTCTGTCTTCTCAGGTTTTGATCCAAAAAAAATATTTTCTTGTGCAGGATTGTAGAGGAAAGTCGACTTTTCAAAATGAGATCCTCTTCGACACTTGATCATATTTCCTTCAAAAGATACAAGAAATTCATTGAGAGACGAAGGAGAAAAAGTCGATGACACGATGCACTGTTCTTTTGTTTTTACTATTTCTCCAGTCGATTGTGAACCGAATCTACGAGTATTTCAGTTGTCAACACTGATGTCCTTCTATTCTTCCGTGAGCCATTCTCAATGATGTTTTATATGTCTCAATGTTTTACATACATACCAGACACGCCAAGTAATCGTTTAATGGAAGGCCCATGCCGAAATATTGCTCTCCTAAAAAGTTATGATTCATTTATTTCGAAACTACATGCTGTACGAATAATTTTGCGCGCATGTGTATTAGATACAGAGGTTAGATTAAAGTGACTATCTTTCTCTTCTTTGTGTATGATTTTGTGTTCCAATGCGGTTTTCAAACACAATTATATGTTCTAGTTTGAGTATACTTTTTATTTACGCTAGTTTTCCCACTGTTTTTCTTCAAGCACTGTGATGCAAATAAAAAAAGTTGATAATAGACAAGTAATAGTCTTTTCCTCTTCTAGATTTAACCAAATAATGTCCATCACATCCTCATCCCCACCGTACGAAGATGTTGAATTGAATCTGAATTTAATAGAAGAACAAGCTTCTCGTCTGATTTGCGTTGTTAAACCTCATTGGGCTACTAAAAAGTTAACATACACAAAATTGACCGATGGCGTTTCAAACGCTCTTCTCGCTATGTTTCCCACATCGACCGATAATTCTGATGACGATATCAAACATGGTCTTATATGTAAAATCTACGGAAATAACTCCGATTTAGTTATCGATCGAGAAATGGAAATTTGTACAATGGTTGAATTAGCCAAATATAACTTTGCAAATGAAATATTATTAAGATTTAAAAATGGATTTTTCTATACCTATGAGCCTGGAAAAACGATTAATCACATACTTGCACTTGATGACTGTATATCATCGTTAATCGCTCGTCGTCTAGCTGAATTTCATTCTATCACACCAAAACTAGAATTCCATCATAAACGTGAAAATTATTGTCAATTACCAGAAAAATTACTCCATTATTTTAATTTGTTAAGTGGTACAAATAGTGAAATATATCAGCGTTTAGCTAAGGCATCTAGTACAAGTACTACGACGACAGCATCGGCTCTTCTCTCATCTGTGAAACAACTTCTCGGTTATTCATCCCAATTAACAATGAATAAAATCGAAGAAAGAATAAATTATAAACTTGCAGATATTGAAAATGATATAAAACAAATTGATATTATTTTTAGAAATCAATGGTCACATATTCAAGTTGTTTATTGTCATAATGATACTCAATGTCGAAATTTTCTCTATGATGAAAAACTTAAAAAAATTAATATTATCGATTTTGAACATTGCATGTATAACTACTGGATCTTTGATATTACAAATCATTTTCTCGAATTTGCTGGCCTGTCCAATCCCGATTGGTCATTGTATCCAGATCGAAAATTTCAAAAAAAATGGCTGAAAACCTATTTAGAATATGCTGAATTTTTACCCGACTATATTCCAATAACAACAGCAACACAAAATGGAGTTAATAAATCAAAACCAAGCAATATTGAATTAGACTATTTATGTGACCTAATTGGAAAAATGATTGCACCATGTCATCTTTACTGGGCTCTATGGGCATTTTTGGAAAGTCTACTGAATCAGACGTCCACAGATTTTGATTATTTAGCTTATGGAAAAATTCGTTTTGAACAATACTTGGCACACAAAGAAGCGTTTTTTGAATCTACCCTAGCTGAATTACCGAAACACACATCAGCTACTTGATAATTAGCAATGTATTAACACTGCTATTTAGTCGAACGCTATTAACTTCTAAGCATTACTAATAACTACAATCTTGCTATATTTAATCGATAAGATTATTCTTGCACCACTGTTATTCAAAAACTCAACGCATCTTCTATAGATCAAAAAATCATCCTGTTTTTAGTACACTGCTTATTATGCAAATGACATGAACATTTTACATTTGACAAGCTAGAGAAAATAACAAACAAAGTTCCCGCAAGGATTAAAAGCATAATAAACTTACCTTTTTACGCTAGTTTTCGGTAATAGAACCAAATCTAATAACGCTTAAACTAACTAAACTGACTAACTAAAACACTGTGTAATTGAAAGTGAAAAAATCCACATATGTATACAAAAAGGTTCGATTCAACAAATTGTGTTCTATCGCCATTCTCAACCGGACCAACCACCAAAACTGCAAGTGCTTTTCTTCTTTACATAACTTTCATAGGAAACATAACGAGCAGGAACAATAATAAAAGACCACCGAATAATGATAATGATGACGAAATATTAATAGTTAGATCACAGTAATTTGTCTGCTGAATAAAAACTATAATACCGTCGATAACATATGGTCACAGTATGCATAATAATATTAAATGATAATGTTACACGGTGTGAGAACTTCCTTGACTAATATTGGAATTTAGAAACAAACAAATGCTCATCTACTAAGTGTAGTAATCACGTAATAAAACAGACTCGAATATTCTTAATAGTAACGTTACCAAGAATAATAGCTCACATAGTAATCGTGAATGATCAGTAAACATTACCGTCGCACAGTGGGCAACTAAGCGGACTATAGGCCAAAAAGTCGATTTTATCTATCTTGAAATACAAATAGTGCAAAATGTAGCTCTTGAAATTCTCTATCGAATGGTGTATAAACGTCTATTGTGAAACTGAAATGTTCA